TTAGAGAAGTATAATAAACTTACATTCACGTGTATGATTTATTGATTAGTTGGCTTAACAAAAGTCTTGTATAATATTTTAAGATTTCTTCTAAACTTAAGTTAAAATGTGATTGTACTAGAGAAATGATTTTTTTGTTTATTAATGAATAGTCTAGTATGTACATGATTATTCATCGAATACAATTTTCTTTTATATTATTTTTCATTAAAACGAAAAACTTGCGTTTTTGCATTTTTTTGTCATTTTGCAAAGTTTCTTAATTGGTAAAATATTTGCGAAATGACATTAAAAACGTCATTCCGCCATTTTTCAGTGTTACCAATCATAATTTGAGTTTCACAAAAAAAAATCATATTATCAGCCAATTAAGTAATTATGCTAAAATAAATTATGTTTTCAATTGGATATAGGTTTTTTTTTTCTCTATAGGTTTCCGCCGCCTCTGTAGTTCTGATCTGAATTTCTAGCTTGGACCGGCGGTTGGCGGCTAGCACAGCGCCGTCGTCGGTCCCTTGTCTTAGACTAGGTTCATTTTTTTCGTTTTGTAGGCTTTTGTTTTGGATTCGGCCTGATTGTACGCTATGGATCGAATTCTAGAGATATGGGTTTAAAGAGGTTTGGAGTTTGCGTTCGGTCTGGTTTTGAGCTGTGTTGAAGTTGGGTTGGTTTGTGGTTGTCGGTCCGCTAGGGTTAGGGTGCTGAATCCGCATTCTCTCTTCTTCTCTCGGCCTGATTTCCTTGCCGGAGTCTTCCCATCGTTGGGTTTTTTTTTCGGAGTCCTTGCGGCCATGGGCTTTTGGGTTTTGTGCTCTCTGCTTGACGATGTTGTAGCTCTAATCTCAGCTTGGTTTGTGGGTTCGTGGTGCCAGTTCTTTGTGCGACGGGCCATCGACCTTGCGATCTCCTCAGGTTTGGACTTTTGGTTCATATCTCCTTGTCGTCGGCTATTTTGTGTAGTTTTCTTGTGGGTTTCAATTCTTCCGGTGAATTATGGGGATTGTGGCAATGGTGTTGGTGCTTCGGTTAGTTAGAAAGTGGTTCAAGTTCCGGTTCATGTGCAATTCGTTTAATGTACTACGAGTTGGGCTTTGGTGGAATGATTGGCGTCGGGTTATCCTCTGATACGGCTTCTCCGCTCATGAACGCGCCTCCTCTTAGCGTCTTTCAACTCTTGATCTTTTGTGCTCATGTATTACGGTCTCTTTGGGTACTTTCTCTGGTGAAGAGTCTTCACTTCAAGCTTTGTTGTTTACGGTTTTTGAAGAGGGGAGCGGTCTCGAGGCTCAGTTTAGACTATTTGGGATGTTATCGCGCCTTCAATCTCTGTTGCATTCGTCGCTTGGATGGAGTTTATTCTTGATTGCTCCCTTTGTTTTGGTCCCTTTTAATTTGCTCATACTTTGTCTGCTTGAGGTGGTGTCTTCTCTGCTCAGCTTCAGTACTGTGTCGTTTGAACTTATGGCATGTCGGACTCGCGCCTTTTGGCTTGTCTTTCTTGTAGTCTGATTTGGTCTCTGTCCATCCACCATTTCTTTGCCCTTGGGTATTGTTTGTGGCTGAACTTGTGTTATTTCCCATTTTTAGTAGTCTTAGCGGTGAAGTGCTAGCCTTGGTAGTTTGGTTTGAATTTTTTGGTTCCTTTGATGTCCCTTGTATGGGTTTTGTATCTGGAGAATTCAAGTTTGTCCGTCGGCTTAGTCTCTGGTTCCGGCTTTATAATCATTTCGGCTTCATTGGTATGCTAATAAATATTTCAGATGACAAAAAAAAAAAATTATGTTTTCAATTGTTGTCTTCAACTCATTCCACCTAGAATTCAGCCGATTTCACCAAATCAACATTACCATCTTAGGGCCTAGATCTATGGATACATGGACGAAGGTACACACTTTAAAAGTTAAAATAGAAATTGTAAAGTACATTCAGTGGCGTGTGATAATTAAATAAGGAATTTAACGAATACGACCAACTCAATTATAAAGTTGTTCGGTTTGTTACCGATGCAAAATTGCAATTTCAAATTAATGTACATATTATTGGCGTAACGCTCACTCATTAAATAATCTTCAAACAAATAGTATCACTTTCACTCGTTAAAGAGTAGTAATAAAAAAGAATACTTATTATTAATTAAATGTAGATATTATGAAAGTGGTAATTCCAAGGCAGCGAGACAGAAAAACTGCAGGTTATTATCTCTCCATCTTCATCTTGCAGAGTGGTTCTTTCTGGGTTTTCTGACTTGCTTTTATTTTAATATATTATATCATTAATACAGAAACCATACTTT